TTCCACAAAATTAATTTGGCACCTATTTAATGAGATACATACCTGTTATTGAACTGTATGGCAATTAGATAAAGTTGTCCCAATAAATTCTGCTCCCAAATAGTTATGTTTTCTGCTCCTATTTTGCAATATATACTATTTCCTGATGTGGTATGCCAATTCTTTTCCCACTTCCTCTTTAGTTTCTGCAGAACACATGCACGTGAAGTAACATATGATGATCAAAAGAGATTTTCCCAACTAAATTTGGTAAATTGGTCAGCTTTTTTATATTCTTTTAGCTCTGAACCTGTTCTTAACTGTAGCAAACAAATGAAGGAAGTCAAAATTTCACAAGGACAATGAGAATGTGAGAGGAGACAATAGCTGATATGCAATATCAATAATCTTTGGAGGTTACAAAGCAATTGGAAGAATAACAATAGACTTGAGAAAGCTGTCACCTAAACACCTATGGATAGGGATACCAGTAGGAACTAAGCCCTCCCACCCCACAGAGCCCTAGAAAGGCTCAGAACATGGCACTTTCAGGGGACCCTAAAGGCAGAAAGGAGATGTGTGACTGAAGTCAGGGGGGTTGGTTGATCATCTGCACACTGAACTGATGGAACTTCCCCAGGTCCCATCTCCCTTCCAATGAATCCAGACAACAACCCCTCCTCCCCACTACACAGAGACTAAGGTCTCTGGAAAATGGAGAGCAAGTAGTTTCACACCAGAGAATCCAAATATGGCACAGAGCAAGGGTGATGGGAAGAGCTGAAAACAGGGAAGCTGGCTGAAGGGTAGGACCAGCCTCTTCCCCAACTCTGTTTCCAGAATGCCAGCACCAGAAGACACACCCAGGCCGGAAACAGCTGGAATCTCCTCAAGAGAAAATGAATGGCTTCAGAGGAAAAAACAACACAAAACCAAACACGATGTTGATGTTTGGGAATTTCACAATGAAAAACCTGCTTGCCATCTGATTACCATATAGCAAAGCTCACTAGTATGAGTTAGCAAATACTGTCCACCAATCCAGAGCCTCCTAGCAGCTTTTTCAGTTACTATGAAACATTCATAGAGAGACAAAGATCTCTAGGACCTACCCTCTGAAATCACCAGCATCACTTCCACTGCATTCCACGGGCTAAAGCAGTCACAAGCCTCCCCAGATGGGAGAGGAGGAACTGCAGAACTACCACGGACTCTGAGAAATGAAGTTAGTGAGTGGTAAGCCCTGAGGCGCAAATGCAGGCTTTCCTGATATAGGATCTGTGGTTATTGTACCACAGACCATGCCTAACCTGTGGACCTCATACCCTAAAGGAGCCACAGAGCTATTTCAAGGAATCCAGGAAACCATATGTGCACCTAGCATTTTCTGTGGGTAAATGATGTGCCTTGTATACATAAATAAATGTACTATAATCTTTAAAGTAGACATACTGATCTTGTGGTTAATAAAATGCAAATATTTAAAATCTTTGCTGAAGTCATAGTAGCTTTTCATATTTTCTATTTTTTTAGTATGTATTTTGTATTATGTATTCTCTTAATCATGGATACTAAAAGTACACATGTGGAGGGAATATTTTTTATGCTTAAAAGGGGAATTTTTAAATACATTTTCTCCAAACTGGAAGTTGCTGTCTTTATGGTCTACCATAAATCAGAGATCTCTCAGGAAAGTCTTGGTAGATTACAATCATACTGCCTGCCAGGCCCATAGGCAGTTAGATCACAGGCCCTGTGCAGTGGCTGTAGGCTGCATGCCTTGCCCTCCCCTGTTTTCAGCCGTAACTGATTGGACGAGGGGACAGCAGCTGACCCAGTCAATCCTTAACCTGGCCAATGACCAATGGAGTGGGTTGGCACAGAAAGTTCTGTCAACTACGCACAAACAGAGCTACTCAGGCTCTTATGCTAAGCATTTTAATTCAGACACACATCATATGAGACAGCTAGAAGCAAGGGACACTAATAAAGTAATAAGGGGGCAAACCAAAGCTTAAATAGAAGCTATGAATTCAAGGGATGAGGAAACTTATCAGAAGCAAAAGGAGAAGCCAGTCAGTAGAATTGGATCCATGAAAATAGTAGAGAGGTGTTATTAACAGGGAAGCTTTATGCCCTGCAGGATGCTTCCTTCCCAGGGCTGTGCATCATAAAGAGCCTGGGGGAGTAAGCCCAGGAGATGCTTTCTCAGGGAAATGCTTGGGCCCCACCAGTTCTACTCCCAGGCATGTAGATGTTGAGAAATGTTTGCATCGCCAAAGCTATCCTGATGCTCTCTGGTTAGTTGTCCCACATCTCCTGAAACTCCACCAGGGCACATTTCCCCAACTTGAATTACAGTGAGCTAGTTACCTTATCTTCCTACCTGGCACATATAGATCTAATTGTTAATCCCGGATACCTAGCTAAGTGACTCTCCATTCCTTCCAACCCAAAGTGTCTTCACTAGAAGGAGAACTACAGAAAAAAAAAATTTTTAATGAGACCTTTTGTTGAGGCAGCTAAAGAAAAACTACATGATATGGGTCTTCCTATAGACTCCTCTTCCAGAAAAATATGATCATTTCTGATTTCTCATCATGAAAAGCTTTTGAGGAGGGAGTTTTCTTTGAAGAGTTATTTATATCTTTTGCTAAGGAAGAGGAAACGCCAAGATTATTTGATCGTAAATAACTTAACAGTACATGCCTTTCTCTTGACTTGTCCTCGATATACGAGCCTATCTATGAGTGAGGCCAACACCGCACGCCACAGAGGTAAGGCTTGTCCCTTGGCCATCACATATGTTTGTATTTTGTCTATAAGTCCATAGGCCTTTTTTTCCTTATTGTCTGGAACCATAGGAAACAGCTTAGACACCAGAAAAATCCGAGATGTTAGTGTTTAATTAAGACAAATTCCTCAAGTCAACTTTTCCATAACTTGTTTTTAAATGTGCCTCCAGGCCACAAAAGGGTGCTTGGATTTTCTGTGATGGGAACTTGAGTAAACTTGAGTGCAAAAGTGGTAACTTCAATTTTTCAATTAGCAGTCATTCACTATAAGATGATGAGCTATACTTATAGATTGTCTTACATAATATCAGTATACAAAATAGCACTGTTATGGAACCTACAATTAAAGGTATGTCATAAACAGTGATACTTATAAAATTATTTCATATTTTTCACAGTTTTTTATAATGCATCATTAAGACATACACTTAAAATTATTTTTTCTACCTCAAGAGTTCAATATAATGCCTCAACCAACTTTTCCTACCACAGCTCTCAATACTCCTCTTTCCTCCCTTCCTTATTTGCCTTTCTCTCCCTTTGTAGGCAGTAACGACCATCAGTAAAGTCCTTCCCAATCATTGTGCTGCTTTAAGACAGACTTCACTTCATCTCAGCTCCCCCCAGAATAATTCATGATTTGTGCATCTGTATCCCTATATCATTTACACAAAGCTTCTATATTTTTTTTTGCTTTGTACAAATGTTTCCTTTATTATCTTGCAGATTGAAAACCCAGGCATTCTATAAAAACAGTCATTTTAGATGCATGATTGTTTTTACCATCCAATATAACCCTGCATTAATTATTACAAAGCTTCTATATTTAATACATATTGCACAAATGGTTTGTTTTTATTTGAAAATTGGAATCAAATTGTAATCTTATTTTGCTTTGCTTTAATAATCCATATTGCCTACCACAGTGAGCCCGAAGTAGATGCTATAAAATTTCATTTCATGAATGACAATGTTTGTGTACACTATTTACATTTTTAACTCCCACCCACCTATAGCCAATGGCACTCATTTCTGAGATGATTAACTGGAATGCAGTTTATGGCCAAAAGGATTAGTTGCACTATGAATCTAGCTCAAAAAGAAATGAAATTGATGATTCTGAATTTTTAAGGCCAGGATCCAAATAAGAGAAACTACTACCCATATCTGAAGCCATTACAAAGGGCTCTCGAATCTAAAGGGAAATATTTGCATTATCACCACCCCCATGATATTCTTGGGCAATGTTTTAGCTGGCTTGTCTGACTGCATCTTTACTCTCTACAATCCACCCTACTTACCAGTGACAGAGTGACCTTCACTGAACATCACTGTCATTGTGGAACTTCCCTGCTCCAATTTCTGTTCAGACTCTTCTCCCTGATTCCCAGGTTCCACCTCAATTACCCAATCTGTATCACCCCTCTCCCTCATATTCCCGTCAACCTCATGTCCTCTGACCTTCCACAAGATCATGCCTAGCTAATTTGTGCCTCTGTCTTACCTTTAGTCATTACCCTCCCACAGTCTCACTTTCCCCCTCTGGGTAATCAACTCTGATCATGTGAATTCTGCCTCCTCTATGAAACCTTTGCCAACTGTCATGCTCTCTCTGATTTCACCCTCCTTGAGATTCTATATCACTTTCAATCCTGTACTACAGGCTGCAACATGCAACTATAGACAATCCTGCACTGTGTCAGGTGGGTCTAACTAATCCGATTAGAAAGTGAAGTTTTTAGGTTCCATGTTTTGGCGTGTCTCCTAACTCAATGATAAGCATACAACAGGCATCAAAATCAGTATGTTTTTCATAGGGCCCACCATAACATGAACCACCCCTACTTTTAAAATTTTAAAAATATATTTTATTGATTTTTTACAGAGAGGAAGGGAGAGGGATAGGGAGCCAGACACATCGATGAGAGAGAAACATCGATTAGCTGCCTCCTGCACACCTCCCACTGGGGATGTGCCCGCAACCAAGGTACATGCCCTTGACCGGAATCGAATCTGGGACCTTTCAGTCCGCAGGCCAACGCTCTATCCACTGAGCTAAACTGGCTATGGCCTACTTTTTAATTTTTAAACTATTCTGTAGTTTTAAGAGAATTTTTCTTCAAATTAAGATAACTTTCACTGCAAGAGTAAGTTACCTACTCTTGATGCAAAAACTTGATTCTGAGAGGCATAAATCTTCAATGACAAAATAAAACAATAAGGCACTTTTAAGATAGTAACATGTTTTTATTACATAAACATTAAAATATTCCTTGTGGGAGCTGGTCTTTAGTTTGCTTCTTGCTTTCACAGAATATCAATTATCTATGGAAATTGTCTAAGAATGATTTATGAAACTCTCACACGCCCATCACAAAAACTTCAATGCCTACATTTTTCAACCAGATTCCTGAGAAAAATAATCAGTTTTGTTTATTTTACAGTGTAATACATAAATTTTCTTTCAAGATATGAAAAGGATGGACTTCTAAAATGAGTCTCCTTTTGTTTACAAAGTTCTATAAAAATACATTAACTATGTTCATGTTTTTCCTCTGACTTGAAAATATTCCAGTTTACCAGAAAATAACAATGAACAATGATATGCAAACCACATTAATCTTGCAGCAATATAATGTCAACATCATCATGAACACCTTGCAAAAGTAGCTCTCCTGGGTATGTAACAATCTTCCTTCGTTTTGCGGCTTTGAGTGTTCCTACCAATGCTTCAAAGAGGTTGGCACATTTGTCATCTCGGAAGAGGACCCCAAATTTCACACTTAACTTCCCATCAGCATCTAATTTGAAAAAATACAATGTTAGTCGATGCAAAGTCTGTTTCTTGTCCCCATGTATGGAAGAATTATATAATCTTTAATACACATCTAAACATAGGTTAACCAAAATTAAAATTTAACACTGAACAGTCATAAATTCAGTGTAACCTCTTGCCAGGTCCAAAAAGTGATGAAATAAATAAAACATGTTGCACACCTCTTAGCCTTAGTATCCTCTGGAAAAAGACTGGGAAGAAAACCAAGCAACATTTGCAAAAGGTGAATGTGTTAGTGCTACTACTATGTACCAATTTCTCTCTCTAAATTTTGATGTTTTTAATTGTATTAGTTGTTGAATCAATGAAAATAACAGAGTCAGGAGCAATGCTTCTCTCAATGTGTTATATATGTACTCAGAACCCCCAGGGAGAGAGTGATGACCTTAAAAATGAAAACAAATCTGTATTTACTGAGATTTTTGGATTATTTAGATTGGCGACCAGTTCTTAACACAGATGTTAAAAATTAAGGTATAGCCCTGGCTGGTTTGGCTCAGTGGATGGAGTGTTGGCCTGTGGACTAAAGAGTCGTGGGTTTGATTCAGGTCAAGGACACATGCCTGGGTTGCAGGCTCGATCCCCCCCTAGGGGGCATGCAGGAGGCAGCCAATCAATGAGTCCCTCTCATCATTGATGTTTCTATCTCTCTCTCCCTCTCCCTTCTTCTCTGAAATTAAGAGAAGAATTGAATTAAGGTATATACTAAAAGAAAATATGAGTTACTAAGCCATAAAAAGACATGGAGGAACCTTAAATACATATTACAAAGTGAAAGAAGGTAATGTGAAAAGGCTACATGCTGAATGATTCCAACTACAGAACATTCTGGAAAAGGAAAAACTATGAAAAAAAGACAAAACTAAGTAAAATGATCAGTGGTTTTCACGAGTTGGGGTGGGGAGAGATGAACAGGCTAGGCTTCCCAATACATGCTTTCAGTTTGCCTGTCTTTCTTCCTGCTGCCTAAGAGACCCACAAGGGCTGAGATGGAATTTTGTTTATTTTCACATCTCCAGCACTTAAGCACAAAAGCAGCACTCAAGAAATATTTGTTGAATGAAAGAATTTAAATCTCCAGATAATCTTTATCCACTTAATTTTTTTCTACTGGGTGGAAAATGAGAGCAGAATTTTATTTTTAAAGAAGCAGATAAAACTAAATCAATTTCCAGCTTCAGCTAATATATCATATTGAGATTAGTCTAAATATGATTAATCTAGATCATAATTTAGATCCATCAAATTATTCCACAACTTAAATAATTTACCATAGCATGTCAGTAGATAACACATTTCCATAGATACTTTTCAATTCATAAGTCATCCATTACCAGAAACAGGTAAGAAAAGAAAGCCTGGTGAAACTGCAATCTTCAAGATATTTTCATCCTTATAGAAGTTATGACAATTACTTCGTTTAATTCTAGTTTGTAAAGCTGCTAATTTTGAAGTGTGGGCTCAGTTTACCCTTGCAGAATAGTAACACTGTGCTAGGGATATAGAGGCTAAACTTTTACACTCCATCTTAGCCAAAAGGCTGAGAAGCGATAGAGGTTAGACTTTTAAACTATTTTTTATTATCTTTTTTTGGTTAATCCTCACCTGAGGATATTTTTCTATTGATTTTTAGAGAGAGTGGAAGGGAGAAGGAGAGACAGAGAGAGAGAGAGAAACATTGATATGAGAGAGACACATCAATTGTTTGCCTCCCATACAAACTCTGACCAGGACCGGGGATCGAGCCTGAAACCAAGATTAACCAGAATTGAACCCAACACCCTGTGAGCCAAACTGGCTAGGGCTAGACTTTTAAATGCACTGAATCTGACCAATTAGCACTCAGCTGACACGCAGAAAGATCTAAGAGAAAAAAGAATGCTATGAATCTTTGGAAATACATCTTTAATACCTTTAACCAACCAAACAATAGTACTACTCTATTTCCTAGACTCTAGGGCAGGGGTGGGCAAACTTTCTGACTCGAGGGCCACAATGGGTTCTTAAACTGGACCGGAGGGCCGGAAAAAAAGCATGGATGGAGTGTTTATGTGAACTAATATAAATTCAAAGTAAACATCATTACATAAGAGGGTACGGTCTTTTTTTTTTTTAGTTTTATTCATTTCAAACGGGCCGAATCCGGCCCCATAGTTTGCCCACGACTGGGAGTAACATGATCTCACAGAGCTCCGGAGAAATTGGGAATGTAGAAAGAAGGACCAGCCCGGCCGGCATGGCTCAGTGGTTGAGTGTCGACCTATGAACCAAGAGGTCACAGTTCGATTCCTGGTCAGGGCACATGCCCGGGTTGTGGGCTCAATCCCCAGTGTGGGCCATGCAGGAGGCAGCCGATCCATGATTCTCTCTCATCATCTCTCTCTCCTTCCCCTTTCTTCTCTGAAATCAATAAAAATAAATTTTAAAAAAAGGAGGACCCACGTAGATGGATCATTGTTGAAAAGAAGACTCACCAAACTTCCACCAAGTGGGTATGATGAAGTGGGTGGGAGAAAAATGGGGTTAGGAAAGATTATTCATTGGTTTGATTGAGGAACTAAATAAATGACAACCTCCACTGTCTCCTCCTGTTTTCCACAAACATTCCAAACGCAGCTCATGATTTCCTCCGGAACTCACCTGTCCTACACTCCAGAGTCTTACCTAATAGCCAAGGATTCATTGAGTGCCCCCAACTACTACAGTTTTCAAGAATCTTTTTCTCTGAGACCATACTAAATTGGATGACAGCACTTCACAGCTTAGCATACCATTTTTCCTGATAATTAGCTCATGTGTTTTTAATCTATTTTTCTCACCTAAGTAGTAAGATCTTTGAGGGACAGGAACACACTTTATATCACTTGTACCTAACACAGTGCTTGCATACACAGATTTCCAACAAATAGTAACTAACCATATGATTAAACTCAGTTGTTGAGCCCACACTAACTTTTATATGCCTAGTTTATTTTTTTCTTGGTATATTTCAGGTTTAATGAAGAAATAAAAAGACTACAGAAGACCAGAAAGAACAATGGCCCCCAAACACATCCATGTCCTAGTCCCCAGAACCCATGAATATATTACCTTACATGGTAAAGAAAATTTTGTAGATGTGATTAAGGACCCTGAAGTGGGGAGATTATCTGGGACTATCTGGGTGAGCCCAATGTAATCAATCACAAATATCCTTTAAAAGTGGAAGAGAGAGCCCTGGATGGTGTGGCTCAGTTGGTTAGAGCATCATCCTGTACACCAAAAGGTCGCTGGTTTGATTCTCAGTCAGGGCACATACGCAGGTTTTCAGTTCGGTTCGGTCAGGGCAAGCATGGGAGATAACCTATCAATGTTTCTCTCACAGGGATGATTTTCCTCTCTCTCTCTTTCTCCCCCTTCTTCTCTCTAAAATCAATTAAAAATACATATCTTTGGGTGAGGATTTTCTTTTAATTGAAGAGAGAGGCAGAAGATGAAATCAGAACGCCAGCTTTGAAGATGGAGAAACGGGGCCATGAGCCAAGAATGCAGGTTGCTTCTAGACGCTAGAAAAAGACTAGAAAATAGATTCAGATTCTCTAGGACCTTCAGAAAGGAATGCACCCTGCCAACACCTTGATTTTAATCCAGGGAGACCCTTATCACACTGCTATGGTTTCAATGTTTTTGTTCCCCTCCTCCCTCCAAACCCTTAAGTTCTGAATTGCTAAAGGTCTGATAGTAGCAGATGGTGCCTTTGGAAAATGCTAAAGTTATGAGGATGTAAGGATTTAAAGTCATGAATCATAAAGATTAATGCCTTATGAAAGAGGCTGCAAAGAGATCGAAGCCCCATCCACCATGTGAGGATAAAAAAAGAAATCTGTGACCTGGAAGAGGACTTAAGCCAACTATGCTGGTACCCTGATCTTGGACTTCTAGCCTCCAGAACTATGAGCAATACAGTTCTGCTCTTTATAAGCTGGTCTGTGGTATTTTGTAATAGCAGCACCAATGAACTAAGATAGACTCCTAAACTACTTTACTCTTTGGATATTAAAAGCATTGTTTCACATCACTAAGTTTGTAGTAATGTTATGGCAACAATAGAAAACTAATACAGGGACGTTTGATATGAATGGCTTAACAGAATTTTCAAAGTATGTCTTGTTATTTCAAATGATTTGTAATTCATAAGCAGATAGAGCCGTAAGTAAGAAGAATTAAGCTATAATGATAAAACAACTCTTATGAGGTAATTTAAAACCGTTTTTCACTAATATGTTATAATTTTGTAACTCTGAGTTCCATTATCCTAGTTATTGCTGAATATGTCTAGTGCTCTTACATTTTCAAAACATTCCCCAAATCTTCCATGTCTTACCTGAGATGTACAAATACCCAAAGGTACAAGTACAATAGTTACTTTCATTTCGCTTGGGGAAAGGGACACTAATACTACCAATTTTACATATCACTAATTTCATGGTAGCTTCTTAGATGCTGCTGAAGAAAAAGCTGACTTTAAAAATAATTGCCTAAAGGTTGGTTTAGTTATATGTACATAAATACCTGATTATATAAAACTCAAGAATTTGGAGAAAATAAAGAAAATTTAATATAATTTCAATTTTAGTCCCTAGACACTTGGAAGTTTAAAAAATGCTGGCAGGATAAAGCAGAAAATAAATTTTAGTAGTGTGACAAAAAAAATTTGAATATGATTCAATTACCTGATTTCAATTAGCCAGATTAAAGAGGTACAACAATTTTCATTCCATTCAAAGGATAATGAAATACCTTAACCATTCTTTGCATCAGGACCCAATACCCCACTAGCTTTGTGTCTCCACATATTAATTCATGGCTGAGGGCACTTGTCATCTGTGACTGAGGGAAGGGCTGTCATAGTTGTGTCCTAAGGCCTGGTGACTCCTTCCTAGGTTTCTACCAAAAATGCTGGTCCTACCTGCTCTGAAGCAAACTCAATAGAAATACTGTATCTGTGTTATAATACTTACTTTTTGAACCCAAACGGTGAATTTCCTCCACTAAGAGGTTAACCTCGTGTTCCACATTCATTGCTGCCTAAGGGAGAAAACAAAAAGTCTGTATTATTGCCATTTCTACATTCCATTAAGCACTTCTTGCCAAATCCAAGGGTCCTTTCTTTTATGTAGCAATTGTCAGAATTAATTTACCATGTTCTCTTCCTAAAATTACTTGTGTGATGTGCATGGCACTAGAGTACTTCCATTTTCCCTCCATCTGCATAACTTCCCTCTGGGCTGATCCCACTCTTAGTCTACACATTCTATTGGGAAGAATGCAGCCATTTTCCTTGCACCCACTCTTAATTCTAAGTCCATCCTCTTCATGGTATGCCTGCAGGCCATCAAAAATACAAAGGTGAGTTCATTGGTGGATCTCTTCCATGGACACAGATAATAGGGTGGTGAAGGCCTTGTTGGGGGAGGTCAATGGGGGAAAGGGGGTATATATGTAATACTTTCGACAATAAAGATTTCAAAAATAATACAAAGGTGAGTGACACAACTAATCCTCCAGAAAGGAAGAAAGGCCTGGAATGCATAGCAGTGTGACTGTACTCCTTTATGGGAGCACAAAGAAGGAAGCCACAGGCTTCATGGAAGTAACTAGGGAGGTGTAGGCCAGGTAGACAGTTGGGAAAGGGTAGTCAATGCATGGGAAAGAGCATGTACAAAAGCATAGAAGCAAAGGAGAAAAGGCAGGCCCTAAGTTAGGAGCTGGAGATACCAACATAAACGTACACACCGCCTCCCCTCTGGGAGCCTGCAGTCTAGTGGGGAAGGAAGATTGATACAAGGCAATTTTAATAATGTCAGGTCAGTGCAACAATGACTCCTGGGTCACACACAGGGACATGTTCTTACCTGGACAGTGCACAGTGTACCTGATGACAATAAAGTAGTGGTGAAGACCATTCATCTTCAGATAACGGGAGCTATTAAACTTATTTTGGCCTACTAGGTCCTCCACAGGCTGGGTTCTGCCCACCATTCCAGCTTCCTCTACTCACTCCACTTAAACTCTAGCTACAGCTACATGGGGCCTCATTTTGTCCTTCAAATGTCCCTCAGTCTCTCACATCCAACCTTCCCATATGCTGTTCCTTCAACCCAGACTATGACTATTCCTCTTTCTTGGGCTAACTCCCACACATTCAGTCCCAGCTAAGATAGAACTTCCTCCGAAGCCTTCCATGGAACCTGCAGTAGGAGAGTGCCCCCACGGAGTGTCCCCAAAGCATTGTCCACCCTCATCATTTCATTTGATTGGAATAACGGATTTCTTAGCTTTCACCGCAAGGTAAAGCTCCTCTAGGCAGGGATCTGATTGTAATTCTGTCTGCTGGGTTGTCTGGCACCAAGAGCACAGGTTCAATAAATATTGTTTCTATGGACTGAACTAGCAAAGGCTTGAGAGAGGATGGAACTACACCTATGGGATTGTCACCAGAAAGCTGCTGATATTAGTGGAGAACAGAGAGGAGCTCTCAGAGGGAGAGCACAGAGAGAAAAGGGAAAGTAGAGGGGCCTGGCAAACAGCTAGCGTGAGAGGAGAGAAATACCAGCAAGAAGCGGGGAAAGCAGATGGAGGTGGAGGAGAGAACCCTGACCGAGTTGGGTCAAAGAAGTAAAAGAAGAAGAGTTTCCATAAGAAGGCAGTAATCTACAGTGAAAAGGACAACAGGGGGGTCAGAAAGTATGCATCAATCATCAGTCTGTTTTCCAATCCTAAATTCTCCAAATCAGATAAGAGACTAAAAAGGTGTGGTTGTGTGAATGGTTTACTTTGTGGTGACAATTTAGAAAAAAAACCCAAAAAACATTATCCAGACAGATTGTAACTAATTCCTGGTAGCTTTTAAAAACAAGAATGGCTTCTGGGTTTAGACTATACTGATTGGGACCTCAGATTTTCCATCAGCTAATAATTAAAGGCGCAACTGCCATCTGCTACATTACATGTAAGAATATTACAATTTAAGAAGCTTGTATTGCAATGAAATGCACAGAAAACTATAAAAATTATAGCATCCAAATATTAGGAATTTTGTGTTGGTGAATTTTATCTATAACATTATATACTCAATTCAAGATACAGTTTAAGAGAGATACTCATAAGCTAAAATACACCCAAAGGACATCACTGAAAGGCATACCATGAGAATTATGATAGAAAAAACACATCCCTGTAAATGTCAGCATGGGGGACAGCTGCTGTTTTTACCTACCCAGTACCCATTCCCATGTTGGCACCATTAGTCTAATTTTTGTTTGGATCAAGTCTTCCTACCTCTAAACTCATGTACCTTGGATAGAGCCTTGCCCTAAATTCCAGTAATGGTTCAGAGCCAGAATAATTGATTGGGAGGCATATGTAAATGATTTCATCCCGAACAATGAGGTACTGTCCCACTGGGTTCTAAGATGTAAGTTTACAGCCCCTGATGTAAACAGCTACCATTGGAAAGAATCTTACAGGAATAAAGCTGGAACAAAGAAAAGTCCAACCACATAACAATGATTGAGCCAATACAGGGCCCTGGACTTTCCAGTCACATAAACCAATCAACTTTCCTGGTTTTGTGTTTTAGAATGAGTTTCTGTCACTTGCATTCTAAAGACTCTTGACCCAAAAAGTTAGCCTGGAGAAGACCTACCACTATTTTTATTTTAATTAAAGCTCCCTTTATGTACCTATGTGAAGAGTTTTATGTTGCTCTATCGGATGAGATGGATAGATGTAATAGAAAGGCAGATTTGGGAGCCATATAAGAAAAATTTCTCTAACAATCAAAATTGCCTAACAATGAATAAAGGTGACATCCTGTTCTCAAAAGCATTAATGCAGAAATAGTGTGGATCTGTGAGGGTTGTTGAGCAAATTAGCCCACATTGGTTAGAAGGAAGAGTGAAATGCCCAAGAGGATTATGGTCCTAATTCTCAGATTCTATGATTTCTTCCCATTCTGAAAATTTCTCTAACACCATTCTCCACTCCTTCCACCTACCACTAGCCACACACTTCAGACAAAGCTCTTTTTATAATGAGACTCAAAATGGAAATCCCTCTATTATGTATAGTGTGAATACCTGCACTGTGTTAAACAGATGTATGCTCATCCAATTTTAAGGGAAGGCAACCAGCATTTCTTTATAATTAATTACATATGAGGCTCCTTATCTGTTAATTCATGTAATCCTAAGAGCCTTGCTGAGTATTTATTATTTATCCCCATTTTACGAATGATGAAACTGGCTGTTGTCCCGGGGGGCGGGGAGGGGTAGTGAGGGGGATGCTAACACAATTAAATGCTGTTGCTACCACATCCTCATCCTCTTCCATCTCCCCCTCCTTTTGTTCCTCTTTTTCTTTGCTAGTTATTATGCAAAGTGCAGTAAATGCAATAGAGTTGCATTTGTATGAAATATTACAAACTGAGTATTTACTAAGGCAGAACACTTGCAGAGCAAGAAGGGCTCCCTGCCCAGACCCCTCCAAGTAGGAAGATAACAGGCACAGGAGCTATTGCTGGCATACACAGTTCGGCATGATTTATTTATTTTATTATTTAGCGGGGACAATGGGGTAGAAATATCCATTGTTACACAATCCTTGGAAAGCCCATGGCATTTTATCAGGCTTGGGACTGAAGCAGCAAGATCAAAAACAATGAGAGGCCTGAAGCGGGCAAGTCCAGAGGGAAGAAAGAACTCCTCAATGGGCCAATAGGCGGGAGAAAGGAGAGAAAAGGAGGAAGGGAGGGGGTGGGGGCGGGTGATTAAGGCAAGGCGGTGGCAGATGCTGGGCGGCCCTCTAATTGTGACAGAATGTAATTGGGCAGCGTGCGTGGGAATCACAAAGAAAGCGGAATGTCAGAGGACTCAGCATATGGTAAAATGCTCTATCGTTAGTACACATCTATGTAGGGACGTTTATAAATCTTTTTTTTTTTAAGTTTGGAGGCAACACATGGACATTTTCTAATGTTGAAGGACTGCAGCCTCCTGGGAATCAGGAGCCAACTCCATGTGCTAGGGCGGGCCACTTTTCCAGCCTTCCCAGACAATCGCAGACTGGCAGCTGGTGCGGGTCAGAGGGTGGCCGGGTTCCTTCCCGCCTGCTCCCGGGCGCGCACACTCCTTATTTGGTCATCTCGGCTCCAAGTTTGGGGGCTGGCCCCGAAGGTGTCCCCAGACCCTGTCCCCAGCGGCCATCACACGGTCACCACCGCACTGGGGCCGAGCTGGGGAACGCGGGATCTGACCCCCTGCCCCGGGCCAGCACCGCGGGGAAGGGCCGCGTCCCGGA